TACTAGTTCAACTCACTAGTTTAAGTTAATGAAAGTTCGTTTGGAAAGTAGTCACCCCTTCATGTTTCATTAAACTGTAAAGTATTCGAGGTTCAAGAAATTTTCACTGAGGAATGATGAAACCGATGCTCGGATGATATACCGGTACCGAGGAGACAGTGTATCCGCGTGCTAGCAGCTACTTAACCCGCAACCAATCGGTTACGTAGCTCGCTGGTTGCATTACCTATCTACCTACTTACCGGATGGCCTACCAAACGAGGACCGACCTCTATACGGGGGACAATGAGGCATCCTCGTTTTCGAGCTAGCTACCGTCTGTCGACTACACATTTTTGCGGTTACAAGAGAGTTTGTCTTCGACTGTTCGTGAAATCTGCCGATCGAGGGTGAGAAGAAGTCGAATGCCACCGGGTCATCGATATTTTTGCTTTCGTACAATGCGAACATTTTCTATTGACATTTCCACTTCAACTTCTTACTTCCTTATTATACAGGGCGTTTCAAATTCAGCTTCGTTCATCTTTGTTCATCTTTGTTCATCTTCGTTCATCTTCGTTCATCTTCGTTCATCTTCGTTCATCTTCGTTCATCTTCGTTCATCTTCGTTCATGTTCGTTCATCTTTGTTCATCTTCGTTCATCTTCGTTTATCTTCGTTCATTTTCGTCCATGTTCGTTCATCTTTGTTCATCTTTGTCCATCTTCGTTCATCTTCGTCCACCTTCGTTTATGTTCATTCATCTTTGTTCATCTTCGTCCACCTTCGTTTATCTTCATCAAGTTTCGTCCATGTTCGTTCTTCTTTGTTCATCTTCGTTTATCTTCGTTTATCTTCGTTCATCTTTGTTCATCTTCGTCCACCTTCGTCTATCTTCGTCCACCTTCGTTTATCTTCATCCAGCTTCGTCCATGTTCGTTCTTCTTTGTTCATGTTCGTCTATCTTCGTTTACCTTCGTTCATCTTTGTTCATCTTCGTCCACCTTCGTCTATCTTCGTCCACCTTCGTTTATCTTCATCCAGCTTCGTCCATGTTCGTTCTTCTTCGTTCATCTTCGTCCATCTTCGTTTATCTTCGTTCATCTTTGTTCATCTTCGTCCACCTTCGTCTATCTTCGTCCACCTTCGTTTATCTTCATCCAGCTTCGTCCATGTTCGTTCATTTTTGTTCATCATGTCTTAATTTTGTTTTGTTAATAAAAATTATTTGCTAATTTTTTACCAGGTACTTCGTCCATGTTCGTTCATTTTTGTTCATCGTGTCCTAATTTTTTTTTGTTAGTCAAAATTATTTACTAATGATTTGCTCATTTTTGTACCAGCTTTATTTAAAAATCATAGAAGTTTTTGTTCCGAGACCTAACATAATCTGGTAGTTCGGAAAAATGATAATACAGCATCACGAAACAAATAAAATATTGGAACGATCGACACGCACAAACGGTGTTTTCTTACTTCCCTATTCATTATGTAAAAGCGGCGCGCGCGAGCGAGCCTACGGAAAATAACACTTGCTTCATTTATCTTCGAGCCGCTCGCGGATGCAGGAAGAGAGAAAGCCTCCTGGACGGTCAAGATTGAATCTTCCGCGAACAATGAGCCGCTGTGATACGCGTAAGCGATGCCAGCCTAGATACCGACCGTCGTGCTCGCCGGCTAAGAAAAAAATCTTCGAAAAGAGCGAACAACAGAAAAGTAAAGGCACAGGTGCATTCGCTACTCGCGTTATGATCGCTGCTGAACGAAACTCGTGTAACTACACTTCGCACGCCACAGACCCCTAACAAGACACTCAAAAAGAAAAATATGTTGGTTACACTTATAACATATTTTTCATAAAGTACGATTGTCTGTCTACACCAATCAAGAATAAGTAGCTCACTGATCCGACAATCATTTATCTGAATGAGGACCCTACCATCTCGAACAGGACCTAAATTATCGGCAGTTTCTGCGAAGTCGTTCAATAATCATCAGTCAGCCAAGAATTCATGTACGATCCGTTTATCGACAACGTAAATCAGAGCAATTTGCCATCCAGTCGAAGAGCAACGACTTCCCATGCGTACGACGAAACAGAAATTATCTGCCGTTAAATACGACTTCTCGAGCTGTCGAATGCTTCTTCGTGTGAGTTACCCGATGCTCTAGTAATTCGATAGAGCTCCGCTATACCCAGGTTGAATCCAATTAAAGCAGCGGATCTCGCGAACGATATTCGTGATTTTCCGGTCGTCGGTGTATGTATATAGCCGGGGCGGCTGCAACGTTTGCCGGCTACGAGCTCGTTTTACGACGCATCCGTAATCGCGGTATCAACATAACCGATAACAAGGTTAGTCGCGTGTGCTCGCGCCGTAATAGTAATAATTTCTCGCGAAATAACGACCGTTTCGATCCGTATACGTCCACTGGAAAACGAGTTCGGACTCGCCCTCGACACTCGCCGACCGGTACGACCGTAAATATCGTTCTGTGACCTCGACTCGCGCGGTTTCAACGTTTCGATGCTCGTAGTAGGACGCGGAGTCAACGCGGAAATTTATGCGATCGAATCGTGGAACTTCGATTACAAGTGGAACAACGAACGGGAAGAATATTTATACTTTTGTACGCGGTCGCCCGGTAATTCCCCGCTTTCGGGGCTCCGGAGGCGTGTCCTCCCAACAAACGGAGCATTACCGTTGATTTACTACGCCTCTACACTCGAAAAGAAGCTAACATGCACTCGCGTGTATCATTCGAGACATCGATCACCGGTGACCCGTACTCGTTAGAGAAACCAGCAACCCCCAAGGGCTGTTTGCAACTCGTTACTTTCGCGAGTTGTACCCTCGAATTCCCGTACGTAGCAATTACAATTATACTCGAATAGCGCAACGAGTGAAATCTCCGGCACAATAGAGTGTATCGATCGTTAGCGACGGACGATAAATTGTAGGCAGAAGAGCGATAAAGAAAAGGACGGGTCGTTTCGCGACAATTTGGCAGATATGGGGCAGCAATGTCCAGAAAGGTGGAAAGCGGAGCGTACTCGAGTCTGTAGGCTCGTTAGCGCAGAATTTCTGAAAGTAGGTAGGCAGAGAGGCTAACCGGTGCTCTCTACCTAATATAGGCTACGAGCCGGGCTTTGTCGACGGACGACGACAGTGCCGCGAGATGAGATATATCCGGTACTGTCGATCTGGAAATTTGTCCCTCGCCAACTCCTTCGACAACGATTCGGCATTTCCTTGTTCGGGGAACGCTACTTTGTTCGTGCCACGGTTGCTCTTGCAATTAGTGCAGCGCCTACGGCACAAAGCACGATACCGAACCATTGTGAGACTGGTTTCCGAGAGCAAATAGACTATACTATTAAACGTGCCTTCTCTTCAAGCTTTACTCGATCTCGCTTCGATGGCACTTCCTAATACATTGTCTCTTTAAACCTTTTTGTCCATAGTTTTTCAAAAACTCCTGCTTACCATAGATTGCTGATTATATTCCTACATCTAACGCTACGGATACACGAAGACTACAATAATATACTGGACTGCCGACATATAATCATATTATGATATACGTTAGATGTGAATCTTGTAAATTGATCATAAATACATAAACATCCGCAGTCTAATAATTCCTGTCCTTCATATTCTATTATAGAATATTAGTAATCTTTATAATGCCCTTAGTAATTCTTGATAATTTTAAGTATATTTTAAAGACCGGTAAAGTAAAAAATAACCATGGCAAATGAAATCGATAGCAAGCACTCGATCCCCGCAATAAAGCAAGATTCACCCTTTAACGTACCGCGGCATTCCATCGGAGACAATTCAGCATTAACGCCAGGGAATTCAATTAAAGCGGCAAGAATCTCGAGGCACGAGAGGCGCATAGAAGTTGGCGGGAGAAGAAAAGCAACCCTTCCCCTCGATTGTCGCTAATAACCCCTGTAGTTGCGGGTAACCGTTCTGCAATCTCGCAGTCCAAATGTCGAGGGTTGCAGGGCGCGTCGAAGCACGTGCCTTCTCGAGGGTTAATTTATTTAAGTCGAGGGCTACGCCAGCCGCACGATGTGTCTCGAGAGGGCGTTCGCAAAAGCTACGTCCTGACCTAACGACGACGATTCTCGAGCTTCGTCGATTCGCAAGCGTTAATTAAAACTAGGGCCAGTTTTCACGGGAGGGAAACACGTGACGACATAACCTAATCTCCGTGAACCACCGAGAGGTGTTGATTAAGCGATTACTAGGGTGGATACGAGGGTATGCTTTTGACGAAGCACCTTTTGATCGTTCATCGACTTCAATGTGGTTAAGCCAACTAAACTGACCATATTATATCGCGTGTATTAATAGACTGTTTAGGTAGGCATTTTCATTAAGGCTTAAACTTCAAGATAATGTCATTTTCGAGGCATCAAATTGTGCAGAGCATGTATATTCAAAAATAGGAATAGTTACTGTGATATTGACACATGAGCACATCGATCAAACGATATACGTATGACCAAATGATATACATAATTATGTTCATGAAACTACAAGATTAAATACCGCAATTTTCCTGACTATCCGATATGTAACAACCAGTATAGCCTTCATCTTGAAAGAAAGCAACACTCACAAGGTAGTGTGAAGAACTCGGCAGTGAGACAGCGGCCATCGCAAATATCTCGAGCAAGAAAAAGAGGGCTTTTCTCGGTGCATTTGATCGGTGCGCTTTCATCGGCGATTAAATCGGTCAGGCGTTATATAAATAGAGTATCGTGTCATCGCGGCGATAAGTCAGATTTCGCAACTGCCCGCGAACTGGATCAAACCACGCGCAGCCATACTTGGACGTAGCAAGGCATGCGACTGATTACTTTAATCGTTTCGCGGAACAATCCGTCCGTCGAACCGCATTCTCTCCTCTCTTTCACCTTTTCTACCTTGCGGACAGTCCGGTCCGGAGACCAGTTCTTCAGGATCTCGTTTCGATCAACGGAAGCGAATGGAAAGAAGACTCACCGTTTCGGAGGCGGCTGACTTCACTTCCGCCAGCAACGACGCGGCCGGTGACAGATAAGTCCTGAGGAAGTTCTCCAAATTGCCGTGATAAGCGCACACCAGGATGTCTCGGGCCTGCCTTATCAGCAGATTGATAACACCATCGCCGTAAATCGGCCCGAGTAGGTTCCGGACCAACGAGGCGACGTCTCCGCGACCCTGCAAACAAAATGGCCTCTCTGTGAGATGCATTGCTCCCTGTTTCATGAGGTTACTTTTGGGGTAGATTACGGTTATATATTGGACGCTTGAAAACTGCTGTATATTTTGCGAAGTTATACTTTCGCTATCAGTATAGAAAAAATAACTTGTAAGTTATCTTTAAGAGAATAGTTTGGTTTCTAATTAATTTCGGTTTTGACTGACGTCGAATATTAAACGATACGATGCTGCGATCTTATAGATCTCTGCTGATACACAAGTAATTGGAATAAAGCTGTAAGCAATGTATATGTGCAACTCGTAACACGATTGTATAATATAACAGAAGGCAAATAAAAAATTGTAACATAAATTTTACAGTTACGTTCAATGTCCTCGACACGAGGGAGTATCCTTTTAAGATCATATCGACATACAGGGTAGCCCAACCCGTTATACTCCTATAGATTGAAATTACAAAGGTAGCTTTGTAGCTGCATTTTCAAAGAGGACAATTATGAACAGTTAGATCGTCCCATTGAATGCAACATCCCTAATGATTAGCAAAGTAGCCTTTATCTCGAGCACAGTTGTACAAAACAATGCATAATTAAACACCATTCGCGTTGTCGGTTCGACGTTAATTAACGACTTAATGCATAATGGAGAATAAGATGTTTGCGTCGTAAATATTTAACAGCGAACTGTTATCGACGAAAAGGTAACACGATACTGCTGTTCGTATCTCTGTATCGCGACACAGTCGACCGAATGCTTAACAATTATTATTATTACGTTCGAACAGGCGGCTAGATCGATCCCAACAAGATCAATTCGAACAGATAGGCCGACGATTAACCGTGTAATTGCGTTGCATCGATAAGACACGGTTACCGTTATCGAAGCCATTCTCAGCCCGTAAATTTTCCTTCTTCGCCGCGCGCGATTAAATATTAATGTCTGACATCCAAGATGCTCGTATTGTTAAGATTTAGCTAGGATGCAACGTGACGGCATTCCTGAATTACGTAATATCGCGCCTCGAGTTTCCGCGTTCCCAGATGCTTTTAACACGGTTCAACCTCGGGTTCCGGAAACGGGAAGCGACTCGGTGCCAAGGGGACACGGGCGAGCTAACGGTTCCCCAACTTCTTCCATATTGTTATGGAATCATGGCCTACGCCGGCAGAATCTGTTATCGACGCCGATCTCCCCCAACACGGTGAGAACAAACAAGGGGAATAAATTGAATTTTATGTCAGCAACCGGACTCTCAACGAAGCCTCAGAACGTGCTCTTTAAGAAGGTATGTTAATTCGTACATCTTCAATCTTGGATTTTCGAACAGACTCTTCACGAAAATCTCGAGCGTTAGACCTTAACCCCTTGCACTATTTTGACGGTCTGACTCGTGACGCACTCGTACCTCGGCCGTGATCAATTTTGCTCAAATTTTTAATACGCTTCAATTTAGAGTTCAAGTCCAATTATAATTTGCATAGTCAACAATTGAATAATAACACATTGAAGTAACGTTTCAATTTTTTTGTCTATTTTAATATTATAGCTTAATTGCGCAGTTCTGTCTGACGCACTTGACAAATAAGTCATAGTGCAAGGGGTTAAGAAGCATTAGTACCTACTACCTCAGAAGATCCAGCGTTTATCGATTGCATCACAAGAACGTCGATCTTCACATAGAAGATGCAAGAAATTATAAGAAGTCGCAAATCGTGAAAGTTTTAAACAACCAGAAACCGAAAGCGCGTATTGAATGAACAAAGAAGCGAAGCTCTTCGTTGCCTGTCGAGCTCCGGCCTCTTGGTCGAGATCGTAAACTAGATACTTTCCAGCAAAATCGGCTCGTTGTTCGCGGAACGGCGTCGCAGCATCAGCCCGGTTATCTGGTCGGATCGCTTACCCACCGGGATTCGAATAGCGAAGCGGACAAGTGGCGTGCGTCGTCCCGGCGGCGATGTGGGTGCATTATATCGGCGCGGATCGTTACACCAGACTGCATAAACATTGCAGTTTAGCAGCCACTCGAGCCAAGGAACGTTGCGACGTAACCATTATACGCGTGCTCGATCGCCCACGTGTTTCCGCCCTGATCCACCGCACCCTGGATACACTTGGCCTCGGTTTTGGATGCTCGAAAATCTTGCGCTCAACCACCTCGTTACTTAACGCCTCACAACGTTGTGCTCGAAAACGATTTATTTGATAATGTCAATAGAATTTTCGTCAGAGGTCAAGGAGAGTTTGGTTGACTATGTGTTGATATACGTAAAGCATACACGAGGTGTGTATGAATTGAAATATGAAATATGTATTGTGTGTATTATACTCCATGTGGACACGCATCGCAGAGAATAGACTGGCTGATCGGTTAGCGAGATCGCGTAACAAATGTTTTCACGATCTGTATTATTCTCGAGCGAGAAAAATGCCCGTAGTAAAAGTTGTCTCTGTACCGAGCTCGTTTTCTCTATTGCGTTTCATTGTTTCCATTATGATCGCCATAGATTCCCATGGCTGGGTTTTCGCGTCGCGACTGGCGTCACGCGAAGACAAATCTCCAGGGATTACATTAGAACGTTACGAAATCGTCGAGCGTTCAACTCGATTGTACCGATCAAATGTTCACCGACGTGTCCATCGAGAACACTCTACTCAAACATTTATCCAAACTCCTATAAATTTTGCAGAATCTCCCATAAATTCAGCAAAAAGCGCTTTGCACCCTTTCCGCCATAAATCAGGGTTGAAATTCTGGTTGCTCCCCAAATTGGGCGAAAATGTTCCCTGCGAAAATTCGACGAGAGTCTGAAATAATTCTTCCGTGCAAAATGCAAATTGACGTGGGCGTGCAAAAGGTAACGGGGAATGCACGTAACGGGACGCGATTAAACAAAGCGGCCGGTTAAACAAAGAAGGCTAATCAAGACCCACCCTATGGCGTTCTCGCTCAATTTCAATTCCGCGGCCGGTACGCTTTGCTGTCAGCGAGAACGCCGCATGAAAAAGGCAGCAGGGTTGCTGCGAGAGCTCGCTGACGTCCCAATTCTCCTCGCGTTCTTTCTATGCCGGCTTTCGGCTTTGTATCGCCGACCTTTCCCCCGTTGCTCTCTCGACTGCAGCAAATTTTAATGAATACGCGTCCAAGCTGCAGGGATTTGAGCGAATTCGATCGAAACAGCTTCATCGCGACGCTCGTGGCGCTGCGATTCGACTTGCTTTCAATCAACATATTTAGTTACGGTTCTTCGAATTCGATTATTTCTATCGTGCCTCTTGATTAACTCTTTAACCACCGCGACCGGGTCAATCGCCATCTGACCCATGAAACTACGCTGCTTTCCAAACGAATTTTTTTTATACGAAGTCTTACTCCTTTATACAAATTTCTTCACTTTGCTTTAAAATTTTCTCGAAGTCATTCTAACTAAATTCAGATTAGTTTGATCGCACGATAATAAAAGGCAAACAAGGGTGGTTCTGCCAAGAATAAATTACGAACACCTAAGCGTAAATACAGGGTTAAACTATGCACATTAATAAACATGTGCTCATGAAGTGCACGATTAAAACCGCCGGCATGTGAACCGGGCTTAATTTATGCGTGGACCGTGTCTGTTTTCATCCCCTCGAATCCCTGGAGGGACGTCCTGATCTCTTCCCCTAACGAGCCTTTTATGCACCATCGACTTACCCTTTTCCCATAAATTTCGACTGACCAAATATTGGTACTGACGAGCGATAGAATAGCCCCATTATTCCGATCGGCCTATCTCCGAGAGGGGTTAGCCTCTCTCGTTGGACGGTGAAAATTATTGATACTCGCTGCACGAGCGGTGCTGCAAGACAATGGCTGATTTATGCTACTTGTTTATGACGTTGGTAACAGTTGTTCGCTCGATGTAATCGGAACATTACAAATTGAAGCGATAGCCGCTTAAACGTTACATCAACCCCCTTTCGTTTCTTTCTTGTTCTTTTTAATTTGATTTATTATACTTTGTTGGATTTATTTGACTTCGTTAAATATCGAACACTTGCTTTATTCTCTTGCTACTTCACTACTAATCGTTACTTTACTACTTAATGCAAATAGCTAATGCAATTATGGAGATCCATCGTTTTCCTCAGAAACCCTCTTCAGCAAACTCCTCGAAACAAGAACCTCATAATTCAGAATACACGAATTGTAATTCAGAGATGGCACAAAGTTTCCCTGAAGAAATCCTCCAGCAAAAGGAGGAACTCACAGCAAAATAAAACAAAATGCACATCTCGTGCCACGAAATTTCACAAAACAGAAGGAACAGAAAACGTAATAAACGCACAAAGTTTCACGTGTGACAGAGCACGTGCTCGTTCAGAATTTACGAAGCTTATCGGGAGCGTACGCGAGAGGCAGTTGATCAGGTAAGCACGGGTTTCCACGTGCGGAGATTGATTAATGCGCGTTTCCATGTTGCCCCCTTAGCTGTCCTCCGGTCGCGAGCTTCGTTTCGTCTCGCTCGAGAAAGTTTCCTCTCCTTTGACTCGCGACTCGGTGGTCCGTTGCATTATCGTGATCCTAAACAACGCAGCATTGATGGATATCGCGAGCGCTTCTGGTGTATTGTGCAACCGGTTCGTTGCCTCGCTTCCGATGCCTGTTCTCCTCGTTGCGGCGATTTAATTAACGACCGAGATCCTTGCGGGAGGATTTTTCGATAATTACCGCGACGCTGCGTCACCGTGAACGCACCGTTCCTGGCTAACGAGACGAGCTCGAGGAAATATCGGTGAAAGCATATAATGAAACGATAGCTACCCCCAACTACTTTACTGTAACAGTAGTGGTTACAAGGGTACTTATAAATATTTTCATGTTGCAAGTTTTTATTGTACTCCTTTATTCATGTATTCATGGATCTCTACATTGTATGAGACACAATGTACAGATGCTGATATTATCTAAGTTTGAATGTCACTCCCTAACTGACCTCTGAGGGGCTGACTTTAAATCA